TATCTATATACATTTAGCTGGGTTTTCATGCGTACTGTTGCCGAGTACAAAATTTCTATCAGGAATCTACATGAGAACAGGGACTTTGTGTATAGGACAGTTCACCTTGCTCCAGTGCTGTAGGTACGACAAGGAAAAAAAATTTGTTGTTTCTCGTTTCATGGAAATTTCAAAATTTGTTGAATACTGAGCTAAAATGGGGGGGGGAATTTGAGACAAGTGCGAGTACAAGCGTATTTTGGAATGCTTTAAAAGGAAAAAAAACGTCTGAGGCGCATAGTTCAAATGATGCATGCAGAAACGAGAAACAGATATTTTTTTTGTCAATCTAACAAGAATTGGGCAAAGAAACTAGGAGAAGCTAATCTACAAGCATCTGAGAGGATTGCCTAAAATTATATTATATACCAGTTGTGTATTTAAGTGTACCTGTATTTCATATTTGAAAAAATCGTTCCTGGTCTATCTTCTTCTGAAGAGGAGTACCCCTTAACCAGATCAGGAAAAGGAGGTTTTTGTGATGAATGACTATTACAGTTTCCCTCAGCACTGAATGATGATGTCGGAGTTGCAGGCGCCGATAATGACTGCGGTGATGAGGAAGAACCTGAATGTGATCTTGATCTCGCGTATCTCGGTTTGGACGCCATATCTTCAAGATTTCTGAAAGTTGTTTTGACACCACTTTTATTAGGTAGAGGGGGTTGGTACCTGTCAGGGAAGTAAAAATAAAACAGATATTTACAGTGGATTAAATATCAGGGGTTGATGTGACATGATCGATATGAATCTGATACCATGTATACTGAAACTATTTTTCTGCTAGTAATTTTATTATGAAATTCATGAAGTAAACATTTTGCGAAAATCAAAACATTTTGTGTTGTATGACTGCAGAGACAGTTTTCCCTGATACAAAATTTCACTAAATTCATAAAAACATTTGTCGTCTGCAATATTAAAGCAGGTTATAGTGTATAAAACATGTTTACACAATGTTTCAGAATGTATAAAATTTAGATTTTTACAAGATAGTTCAATGTGCAGGTTCCTATAATCCTGTGCATATGAACTAACTGTAAGACACCATTCCAAAAGATTTCATAATAGAAATTTTTTTTTTTTTTTTTTATTTTTTCAGAATCTCATAAGCTAGTAACCTTCAGGTAAAACAAAAAGAATCAGATTAAACACAGATTTCACAGAACGGAAGGCAAGAAAAACTTCTTTGGTTTTTTGTGATGGAATTATTTTAACAGAGGAGATGGCCAAGAATTATGTAAGGATCCAATTTCACCAATTCAGTTATTTGATCAATTGCATGTATTTTCGGTTGACTTCAAAAGATTCAATTAAAATTATTTAATGACAAAAATACTTGTTTACCTATCAACTGACATAGTTCTGTGCATGAAGGCATTTCTCTGGAAGAAAAATATAATATTTACATTAACAAATGTCAATGCAGTCACCACATGCGTATTGTACCAGTGGGACGTGAGAAATGTAAAAATAATTTGAATGGCCATTCATTGTTTACTGGATGTATTAATAATATGTACTAAAATCTTGTGTTCATCATTGGTTGCCTTAAAATGAAGTATTGTCACTACAGTGTAGGAAAAACCAGTATTTTTGAAGGATAGTCAATGACAATGTAATACCAAACATACACAACCAGTACAATAGGAAACAGCAACTATGTTTATTACGTAGAGATAACACGACTTCTAATAAACGTAAGATTATACACAGATTATATTGGTTAAAATTTATATACTGTAGAATACTTCATTTTCGCTGAAAAGACTTTTTTAGTTGTTTTGTATGGAATTTATTTTTGACAAGTTGAATGTAAAATATAGAAAAAAAAAGCATATTCACTGCATTTTATTCCTTCAGTGAATCATTCCTTCAGTGAAAATAAGGAAAATTAATTCCAAGCGAAAATAAAGTATTTTACAGTGGGTTAAAGTGGCAGAAGAAACAATCTCAATATGTAACTGGTCCATTAATATCACTGATGATTAGTGAAAATTAACAACCCCTGATTGGTTGATTAGATGGTCTGTCATTTCCCAAATTGACAAGACGAAGCTCAGTAGATTAGAAATTGCGATTTTAGTTTCTGATAGTCACTAACAGTTTGGATTTTACAATTTGAATTGAATACACCTGTGTTTGACAACATCATATTGAAAATACACATGGATGTTTAACAAATAATCAATTAGACAAAAACTGTGTTTAAATCTTTTTCAACTAGTAAACCAACAGCAATATTGTACTCTATTATATTCCTGGTTATATACAAAAACAAAATAAAGTACTTTTATACATTCTGATTGATGAAAAAAATCAATATATATTTTAGCATAGTTATGACCATAGAGGTTCGCTACATTTCTCAGCACTGAGGGCACTGTCTTGAATATTAGGATACAATGAGCATGTTTATTTTTTGTAATATTTTCAAACAGTGCCCTCTATGATAAAAAGTAAAGATTCTTTTGGACCAGCTTCATTCAAGTCAAGTTTTACTGGAACAAGGGAAACACTACATACGTTAGGACACAAAACTGACAATACATACGTAAGTACATGCTCTATTTGTATTGTGTTTACATTGACTTTCTCACTGGCACACTTTTAAACTACAGCGGGAATTTTAAAGTTGCATTTCTACATCACTCCCATCAGCTAAATACAAAAAAAAATCTTTTGAATGATGCATTTTTAGCTAAATTTTAATCAATCCTTTTTCTACCCATTTAATTTGAATGTACTAGGAGGTCTTCACACATCTACAATGTAACTGACTTTCAAAGACAAACAAAGCACCCTAACTCAGTGTGTGTTTTACACAAATCTAGCTCATTTTAGGGGGCTCTTTTATATATTTAATTTCTCATTACCTATTCTCAATATATACAGAGGATGGTATTGCACAAATTTACAAAGTGGAAATGCAAATTTAAACGCAGTTCGATCACCACATTACATGCAATTACATAGCACACCTTAACAGTACACCAGCAAAATATAATCTCCAGACACAGCAACCAGGTAGGATAGCAGCATGTGTTTATATAGACCATATTAAAATATGTAAACAAGCAATCTGAAAAAATGGCAGAACCATGGACAACAAATATCCTATTTGGAATGTTCAGTTGCTTCCTGGGCATGATATCCTGTTACATACCTTAGTATATAAAGATTGTGAGGAAGTTCCATCAGGGTTTGTCTTCAATGTAAGCATTAATAAAGATGGAAATAGGTTTATATTTTGAGAAGCTTAAGGACACCAGTGTTGCTAGGCACAGGGAGAAAGGTATTGAGACCCTTTAGGAAAGCAATACCGAACAGCTGCAACATTTCCTGCTTTCCCAGTTGTGTTTATTACTGCATATTTTATCAAGCTTTTTGTGTGCATTATATAATTTATCATGAAAATTGAAAACCATAACGAAAAATTGTATTTACTGTATTTGATGTATATTTACCTAACATGCAATAAGTACCAGTTAGCATTTGTATATGAATGCTGGTGCACTATACACAACTTATTCAGGGGTACCAATGAAAGTGTAGCTTTTTAATGAAATCACAGCTTTGACACCGTGCAGCATAGCTTGGTCAGGAAAAGCTTCTGCAGGAATGAAATCCGCTAGTTTTGACATCGAGAACTCAAGCTTTGAACATATTTTGATGTTAATGGCGTATGCAACATGGCTGCCTCCAAAAGCAGCGTTAGCGACGGTAAGTATTTTACTCGTTTTCTCAACAAAATCACCAAGTTATGCTGTGTAATATGCCGCGATCAGTGAGGTTCAGGTTCAATTTCATTTCTAGAAAGTTTCAGCCACCATTTTACGAAACTTGCAGAGAAATCTCAATTCCAATTTTCGAAGCGAACAGGCTAGCA